CTTTTCGACTAAAAAATTACTGTAGGGCCCCTTTAATTAAGGTTCATCAAATGAACAAATTCTCTCACCAGAAATTTCTTTATGAGCTTGGAAGATGGAGTGAATGATAGTTAACCTTTTGTAATTTGTGTATAATCTTCAACATTCTATACGATTGAACGTTCCCGCACATGGCAGGAAATGCTCTTTTAGAAAGCCTAGATTAGAAACTGATTTTCTGTGGGTATACGTCCCTGGAACTCATCCAGAGGTTTGTCACGCCCAAGCCATCTTTCATTTGCCAAAGCGAAGATATTTTTTTCTACAAGCATGTGATTACGAAACTATGCACGGCTGTCATAAATAGTCGTAACTGCAGGTTTTATCAAGGCCGCCCAGAGTGGTGGAGGGGCAATTTGCCCTGGGGCCCCAGTTAAAGGGGGCCCAAATAAGAATTACAGTGAAATATACATAAATATAACTGTCAATTCTAGACTTCCAGAATGCAGGATTTGGCCATTTCTGCGACCTGAGATTTCACAATTTTCCCGGGGAGATCTAGAATGCCTCCGGATCCCTCTAATTACATAGTGTTAGAAGATGGAATCACAAGTGGCCCCTAGTGAAATTTTGCCCTAGGCCCCCAAATTAATTTCCCTAGGCGACCCTTGGTGCTGTGCAGTGTATGTTGGTTTTGGCATTTTTGAATATCAATTGTAGTCTGTTTTGTGGTTACACATTATTATAAGGGTGTGTTCAGATATTTTCAGGGCGTTTTTCTGCTCGGCTAAACTTTGCACAAAAATGTGCAGTGATAAAAAAATCTTAAAATTAGGTATGTGATAAAGAATTCCAATTCGATCCGAAAATTCTTTAATAAAATAAATTTCTCATTCAAGTTGAAATATTTAACCAAATAAATATAAAAGCAAGAAATACATGTCAAGAAGCTGACAAAGTGACGTGCAATTGATGCATCTAACGAATAATGCAGCGACAACCGCGATGGATGCTTTGATAAACGCATGGATAATTAATTCTTGTGATAATGCGTGGATAATTAATTCATTTTATTTCGGATATCGAAGTCCGATCCGATCCGACTACGAAACAACTTTATCAATCCGATCCGAAATGAGTATTTTGCATTTTTAAAAGCTTGTCTGTATGTGTACAACTGCCGTCATTCCACACTTTGGAGCAATAGGTAAAGTGAGGTAAGGCTAGTGAATTGGGCATGTTAATTAATACGTAGTTTTGGTTAACAAATCGTTTGGCTCGTCTTAGCGAGGCAATGCTCTTGGATAGTATTTTGCATTGAAGATCATTGTGTTTATGCCATCTCAGTTCATCGTACTTTCTTGCACCAACGAGTACTTTCTTATTGGTCACCTGTTTGATGTTATGATTACCAATCAGTATACATGGGTCATATGAGAATTGTTTAAATTTTCGTTTAGAGGCTATTAGCATAAATTCAGTTTTTTTAACGTTTAAAGTAAGCTTGTTTGCTATTAACCAGTTATTGACGTTATACAAATCGTTATTTAGTTTCACTTCTATGTCCGCAGGTGAATTATTTACCAATGCTTGATATAGTCGGCCGGCCAAGATGGCAAAAAGTGGCTCTAAAGAGAGTTTGATGGCAACTTTATGTTAGAAGTTGGTAACAAGCATTTTCTTATAGTTTAAGCCATGGTGAACAAGACTGTGTGTGTTATCACTTCTGATTTTTGCTTTATAGCCAAAAAATTGAGAATTTTTAAATTTTGCCTATTAAATTACTATGATGGCAAAAAATGTAAAATTTCATGTTCTCTTATACAAAAAATAAGCTATACCACTATAAAGATCGCAATAAACTATATAAGACAATTAAGCGACTAGTGCGATTTTTCAAGCCGATTTTGAATTAAAGATGGTTAAAGTTGGCAAAGTGGGTACTAATTAGCGTTAATTTGGTCATTTTCACATTTTTTAGCATTAAAAACTCGAAATAGGATTCGAAAAACGTAGAACTCACTTAATTGTCTTATATATAGCTTTTTACGCTCTTTGCAGTGGTGTAGTTTATTTTTCGTCTAAGAGAACATGAAATTTTACATTTTTTCCGATCATAGTAATTTAATAGGCAAAATTTTAAAATTCTCAAATTTTCGGCTATAAAGCAAAAATCAGAAGTGGTAACACATATAGTCTTGTTCACCAAGGCTTATACTATAAGAAAATGCCTGTTACCAGCTTCTAACATAAAGTTGCCATCAAGTTGTACAAAATGATGACTTGGCCAGCCGTCTAATATGTTTGTGTCATCTGCAAACATAGATGCCTCTGTTTGTTCGAGGCAGTTAGGAAGATCGTTTATACCGTATACAATGAGAATAATAACGGTCCAAAGATTGATGCCTGTAGGACTCCGCACCTTATCTTTTTCAGTTGGGAATTTGTACCTTGGACTGTACATAATTGACTCCTATTGGTCAAGTACGATTTGAAGAAGTTAAGGGCTACACCTTGAATTCCATATAGTTCAAGTTTAGCAAGAAGGATTTTGTGGTCGACTGTATCGAATGCCTTTTTGAGATCAAGAAACAAGACATCATTTATTAAGCCTCTATCCATATTCATTAAATATTCATTGGTTGGTTGCAAGAGAGCAGTTTTAGTAAAGTGATATTTTCGGAAGCCAGATTGGCGTTTTGTAATTATTTTGTTGTCATTCAGAAAATTGAGAAGCTAGTTGGTTCTAAACTTTTTTCTTTAACTGATTTTTGAAATTGCCGGTATGACAGATATAGGTCTGTAATTTCCGCCTTCATTTTTGTCACTTTCCTTACATTATAGATAGGCGTAACCTTGGCCTGTTTTAAGTCGTCTAGAATATACCAACGTCTAGGATCAAGTTAAAAATATAAAGCAAGGTTTCACATATGGTATAACCTGCAGCCTTTAACAGTCTGTTTGTGATTTTGTCGAGTCCTGCAGCTTTCCCTAATTTTTACCCTCTAGTATTCTGCATAATTCTACTGGTGAAATTTGTCTAAATGTAAACTTATTAGAATTAGCAGTGATATATTGAACTGAGTGGGTCTACATTACTTGGTGGTATAGTTTGTGCAAGCTTAGGGCCAATTTCACAAAAATAATTGTTAAATTGCTATATTATCGTTACCAGAAATTGTTTGTCCATTAACTCTGATCTGGTTGATGTTGTTGTAGTCGTTCTCCTGTTGAGTAAATGATTAATAAATCTCCAGCTATCTTTAATATTTTTGTATTGTTCCAGATTTGTTTTATAATAGTGTGCTTTTGCATCCCTAATAAGTTTGGTAACTTGGTTTTTGCATCTTTTATAAGCCTCGTCATAAGCAGTAGAGTTTACTAGTCTCACTGCCTTTTTTTAAGATAATATCGATGATAGCTAAGTTTTTTAATTTCATTGTTCAACCATGGGCAATGCTCGTTTCTAACTTTTCTAGTACGATAGGGAGCATGGTTGTCAGAAATAGACAAAAATATATGCTTCCACTGTACTCCTGCCAGGCAAGATTTGGATCAGAGTTGTATGTGAAGTAGTTAAACGCTTGTGCTAAGTCTTGTTGGAATTCGTTTTTGTTAAAATGTTTAAACTGGCTTGTTTCTACTATTTTCGGCGTTTCTATGTGTACTCCTATTTCCTACAAATATACACCAGATCATGGTCACTTATTCCCAAAGCAATCTCTCCTGAAACAGATGTTTTGGTATCGTCAGTTTTTGTAATTATAATGTCTATTAGTGTTTTTGTCGAGTCAGTTGTTCGAGTTGGTTTATCAATGTGTTGCTGTAGTTGGTAGATATCTAATAGGTCATCCAATCGTTTGGAGTTGTTATTCCTGTAGTTGCTGTCCAGCATATCACAGTTAAAATCACCTGTTATGATTATTTCTTTGTTTTCATTGTCAATCTCTTTTATGAAATTTTCAAAATCATTAAAGAATTCCATATTAGAACCTGGTGGACGATACCAAGTACTAATTAGAACTGGCTTAGCTTTCGGGTTTTTAATTTCAAGACAAATTGCTTCTGCATTAACTGGAATTAAGTCAGCTCTATTAGTATGGGGAATAACATCCCTTAGATATATAGCCACTCCTCCTCCATTGCGGTTCCTATCCTTTCTTATCAAATCGTAACCTGGTATTTTAACCTCAGAATTGTCTATGGAGTCGTCAAGTCGAGTTTCATTGATACAAATTACATCAATAGGGATTTTAGCCAGAAAAACCAATAATTCGTTTTTATGCTAAACCAGACTTGCAATATTTAAATGCCCTATTTTGAATCCCTTGAGTTTTGGGTAAACCTTTTCATATTGGTCCGTATATTATAGTCGGAGTAATTGGATCTAGAGGGTTCACATTTTCATTATCGTTATAGTCTTAGTATCATCCCCGTCGTCATGATCATCATTACCATTGTCGAGTCCACTTTGATAAAATGATAACGAGGATGCTACAGTATCTTCTACTTTGGAATATTGGTTGACGCGTATACGCGTATGGAGTAAAGACTTGCTAATTTTGCTCCGTATTTTGTTTAAATAATTATGAGATATGCCAGATACCGTTAAGTCTCTCAAGATAGAAAATGACGAATTGAAGAATCAAGTTATTGGATTGAAAGCAGACCTCAAGCATGTTGATTTTGATCAATATACTAAAAAAGCTTCAAGGCATGCCCTCTAAAATGGCTACAACTTCGCCACCAACTAATAGCGAGATGGTTAAAAGCCTTGACTATCTCAGTGATGCGTACGATGATCTGAAGCCGTTTCGTGCATTTGCAGAGAAATAATTTAAACGCTTCAACGAACGCCTTGATGACCTATATAGTCGCTCGAATGAATCGCTATTGCCGTAGACGAAATGCAAAAATACAGTTACCAATATAATCTGAAAATCCTTGGCCTTCCAGAGAGTGGCCACGGAAGAGAAACGGCGGACGTTTCAACCGACTTATGCATTCGCTTGTTCAAAGAGATGGGTGTTGAAGTGAACGCCTACGACATTGACATTGCACATCGAATCCCCATGAGAAATGCCAGCGCTGGACCAAGACCTATTATTTGCAAATTTACTCGTAGGTTTGTCAGAAATAAAATCATTGCAGCGAAAAAAAAAGCAACGAACGTAAGAGCCGAAGCTATTGGTCTCCAATCTAACCCAGACGCTTCTCCAAATCGCATTATGATTGTGGAACATCTTACACCGAAGACACAAGTTCTTTTCAGTGAAGCGAGACGATTCCAGAATCAGCATAATTACAAGTTCTGTTGGGTGAAAAATTTTACTATTTTTCTGAGGAAGACTGAAGATAGTAATCATATCCAGATTCGTTGCCCACAAGACTTGGCGAAACTGGCCGAGTAAAGCGATATATGTCTATATCTTAAGATAAGTAATAGTATACTTTTATCATGACTAATATAAGCAATAATTATGATGATGATCATGAATATTTCTTAGCAGCCCTTCCCTTTTGCCGCTTAGATGACAGTTCTTTTAACGCAGCAATGTACGAATTAGCTCAGGCTCCCTGCATTATGATTCTGACCGGCTAGATACGTTGTTATTTAATCCAATTACAGACCAGCAGGGCATTTTTTAACTATAAAACTGGGGGGGGGGCAAAGCCCCCATGGTGCCCCCCCCCCACACTCAACCATTTTGCCCCCCCCCCAGTCAAAGTCCCTTTTCTCTAAAATATAAGCAAAGCATGGAATTTAGAAGGGAGGTTTGATATTCTAGTAACTGAAATTTGCTTTGTGAATCTTATGTCCTATCTTTTATGTTTAATCAATACCTTATTAGATTTTAAACATTTCCCAGGCAGTGGATTGCATTTCCCAGACCCTATAGATTTGAGTTGTTGGACAAGTTAGTGACCGCAGGAGGCAACAGGCCCCCAACCAAGTGTTTTATAAGGGGGGGGGGATAATTTTGCCCCCCCCCCCAAAAAAAATTTGATTTCGAAACTAGAAGTATTTGAAATCATATATACATATAATCAAATATCTGTAATCGATATTTTGATAACATTTCTCGTAATAATCCATCCTGACTCGCGGATATCATAGACTCGCAAATCATAATGAACGAATTAATGAAAGGGCCTAACAAAAGACGTATAGAAGAATTTGAAAATGCCATTTCCGACGATTTAGAGACGCAAAATTTTCAAAATGTTTCCGCTCTGTGCCCACCATGGTGGCGCTTCGTGGGAGTCGGGAACTCTAAGTTTATCAAGCTGGGTCCCTAAGTGACGGCCAAGTTGTGGTACCTACATAAACATACTGTGCAAGTACTTAACTGAAGGTTCAGTCTATCTACAGCATAATGTAATGCTGTATATCCAAAAATCTGTTTCAGAAAATGCAGGGAATTGCAGTCATAGGGGTAGAAAAATACAACAATTTTCTGGGAGAGAAAACCTCAGACCCTCTCCAGGGCCGTAGCAACCGCAGGGGGGGGGGGGGCTGTGGAGCTGCAGCCCCCGAATAATTTGCTAATATTCATTCATTTTTCAAAATCCATTACCAGAAATGTGGGACATTTTTCGTCCGCAATCGTATCCAGCGGTTTTACGCATAAACGATGATTCATCAAAAAATACAAACAAAATGGCGGCTCATTCTTCAAAGACAAATAGTATTGTTAATATATTGAAGGGGAAACTCCGTGCTGACGTCTAAATTCCATTTTATTTTACTGCGATTAACTAATGTAAGATTGTCTGACATTTTTTACAACAGCAGAACCACTATTTGTGGCACGATCGAAGAAGTAATTTCCAAATTTGACGCGTTTACGCACGTATAATAAATGTATTTAGCTGAGAAATGTGCATAAATTTGCGTGCTGGGCAGGGTAAGAGACTGGGAAGAGCATAATTAATTTAAAAACAAATATGGCGGAGAAGAAACGCAATGTATGAAAATTTTATCGTAGTTGTGCTGATAAAAATGCCCTCTTGTAGCATGTATGGATGAATAAAATGGCTAAGTTTAGAGGATTTTGGAAGTAGTTTCCTGCGGAATTTAGATACTTTTGTTGGCGAATATATAAACTTTGAATGTTATTGAAACAATTGCGATGCCGATGCCAAGCTCAAGATTTCGCTGGATATATTTCCGTCCACCAGGCTGCGTTTGTGGCGTGTATTGCCAGATTCACATGCAATATAAGGAGTTATTATGCTGGTGAATGTGATATCAATAATGAGCTCGAGAAGTGAGTGTATTTTATTCTAGAAATGGTTGTTAGAATTAATAGATTCCTGAATCAGCATAGCATGTGAAACGATGCCAAGTAAGCGTGATTTGCGGCTCGTTGATGCGATATTTTAGAAAGTTCTTTTATGCCTATACTAATCCTAGCATTATCGGACGCCATTTTGTTGCGTAATTTTTTGTCATGTCCACCATCTTGACCCACATTTCTGGTAATGCATGCAGACCTTCATCATTTAATCCATGACAAACTGCAAAGAATGAAGATATTACCCATACTTTTCTGCAACTTATCCAATATATCGTTAATTAAATACGCCTTGGCCCATTTAGTACTACTGAATTCTAAATTTCCACATACTAAAAACGCTGTTTTCTGACAATCAGAAATCTGTCAAATCTTCCCCAAAGTCCAGGAAATGGCATTTCAGAGACTCTAAATTTAAAAATTTCTTCGGGCCTTCGGCCCTC